AAGAGAAAGAAGAGGAAGAAGGTTAGGGCAGGAAGGATGGGGGCCGGGTTAAAACACCACCTCGGCGCCATAGATTTTGGCGCCGTTCTCGACGCCAATAAGTTCGACTCCAAGATCTACGACACCGAGCTCGGCGTCAGGATCTACGGCGCCAAGCTGCCTGCCAAGTCATCGCCGCGTCTACGTCAAGTAAGATCTAGGCACCAAAATCTATGACGCCGAGACATGTAAGCACGACGCCACCAACGATTGCGTCGAGGTAAGAGTCCAGATTTTAAAATCATACCTCCAGAGACATATTTATAATTTTTTTAAAAAAAGCTAAAAAATAAAAAATTCGGCTGGCGTCCCACATGGATCACGAAACCATTTACCTTTAGCATAGATGCGCGGATCGGATCCCCTGCCCCAACACCAGCTATTCTTGGTCTGATGTGTGGATGGCTTCCAACAGCTATTCTCACAACGGCACGCTCTTGCACACAGGAGTCAGGAAGCTCCGCATGCACCAGGGACGGGAGGACGGGTGCTGAGACCCGAAAGAAAGGGATCTAGAAAACAGCGCTCGTCGTAGCCTTTCCACCAGTGTCGCGCTGCAGAGCGTCCTGCAGTGCAGTCTCCATGGCCGCCGCAGTCGACACCGCTGCCGTGGCGGGTGCGGGCAGGAGGCTGAGGGTGTTCTTCCTACCCTCCTTCATCCGGGGCCACCTCATCCCGCAGACCGACCTGGCGTGCCGCGTCGCGGCGGCAAGGCCCGCGGAGGTGGAGGCAACCATGGTCGTGACGCCGGCCAACGCGGCCCTCATCGCTCCCACCGTGGCGCGCGCCGCGGCCGCCGGCCACGCCGTGCGCGTGCTCTGCTACCCGTTCCCTGACGTCGGCCTCGGAGAGGGCGTCGAGTGCCTCACCACCGCCCCCGCGCACGGCGCGTGGCGTCTGTACCGCGCCATGGAGATCGTGCAGCCGTCCCACGAGTCGCTGCTCCGGGACCACCGCCCCGATGCTATCGTCGCCGACGCGCCGTTCTGGTGGACCAACGAGGTCGCCGCCGAGCTCGGGGTGCCGCGCCTCACGTTCCACCCTGTCGGCATCTTCGCCCTGCTTGCCATGAACAGCCTGTTCACCATACGCTCCGACATCATGCGGACCAGCTCCGCCGCCGCTGGGACGGTGCTGTCCGTGCCGGGCTTGCCCGGGAAGGAGATCGCGATCCCGGTGTCCGAGCTCCCGAACTTCTTGGTCCAGGACGACCACCTCTCCAAGGGGTGGGAGCGGGTGAGGGCGTGCCAGATCGCTGGCTTCGGCGTCATCGTCAACACCTTCGTCGACCTAGAGCAGCCCTACTGCGAGGAGTTCAGACGCGTGGAGGCGCGCCGCGCCTACTTCGTCGGGCCCCTGGGACAGCCATCGCGCTCCACCCTGCACCGCGGTGGCGACGGCAACGTGGACTGCCTGAGCTGGTTGTCCACCAAACCGATCCGGTCGGTAGTGTTCGTCTGCTTCGGGAGCTGGCCCGACTTCTCAGTGACTCAGACCAGAGAGCTCGCCCTGGGGCTCGAGGCGTCGAACCAGCCATTCCTGTGGGTTGTCCGCTCCCATGACTCCAGTGACCAGTGGGCACCGGAGGGCTGGGAGCAGCGCGTCGCCAACCGTGGCTTGGTCGTCCGCGGATGGGCCCCGCAGCTGGCCGTGCTGGCCCACCCGTCGGTGGGCGCGTTCGTGACGCACTGCGGTTGGAACTCGGTCCTCGAAGCCGCGTCCGCCGGCGTGCCAGTGTTAACGTGGCCGCTGGTGTTCGAGCAGTTCATCAACGAGCGGCTGGTCACCGAGGTGGCCGCGTTCGGCGCGCGCGTGTGGGACGGCGGCAGGCGCAGCGAGAGGCCCGAGGATGCGGAGACCGTGCCGGCGGAGGCGATCGCGCGGGCCGTGGCCGGCTTCATGGAAGGCGGAGAGCAGCGCGACAGGTTGAAGGCCAGGGCCGAGGAACTAGCGGAGCGCGCGCGCGCCGCTGTCAGTGAGGATGGGTTGTCCTGGCGTGACATAAACCGCCTCATCGATGATCTCCTGCAGGCGAGAGCCTCAGGGTTGGCACAAGGGAATTCCGTCCAAGTTTAATTTGTTTTTGCGCATACATTGTATGTAAGGCTAGAAAACAGAATTAAAAAGGTGACATTTCGGCAAGGCAGAATGTGATTCTATTTTGGGAAGGCCATGTTTTACTCTCACAGCCCGTTTGGATCTCTAGAATTGAATTGAATCTAAATCATAGTATGCTTAGAACTAGGAATGACAATTCTAAGAAATTCCAGTGAAGCACAACACGCCTAAGTAAGATTCATAGCTAGAAAATGGAAAGGCTGATGCCATTCAAGGGACCCAAACAGGCCGACAGTAATTTTTAGGACATCCTTCCTAACTAGTGAAATGGTCCTTGCAAATTATCCTGTTAACATACGGTTCAACCCTAGTACGACACAATTACATTGTCATCTTAGACTGGACCCACCAAGGTTTTCATTCCCTGTTCACAAGACTGACATGTGTTACAAACAGTGTTAACAAGTTTCATACCCATAAGATTTTTCATCATCTCTCCCTATTTACACTATATCATGTCAACTTATTTAATAATGTACATAAAACCCCTAATGAGACCGGCTTTATGTTTCACTCTAGTGTCTCAAGGTCGAATATATGACCGAATGGTGTAGGCATAAATGCATCCTTGAATCAGATTGCTCCTCAATTATCAAACTTTTGAAGGAAAATAGTGGGTTGAGATCCCATCCACGATTCATAGTGAAAGAGGCGGTGGAAGCAAGTGGCCTTGTGCAGGAATGGACAATTGCCATACGAAGAGAATAGAATAGCGCGGCCCATGAACTCGAGCAATTGGCGAATAGAACATGACATTTTGCAATCTGCCGTTTTATGTGTAGAGCTTATACTTACTAGGGAAAGTAATACTTCCTCTGAGTGATTAATAGAGCTCTTTCTTCCTCACAAAGAAGATATATGACTTGACCAATGTTTTTTTATCGAAGTAGTTGGTGGTACACCACCACAATTTGCAAAAGCTATGTCTTGCTCTTATATTTGGTTAACACTATTTTTAAGCAACAAACTTATCAGCTACTCTATGCAAATACTAAAGAGTCAAATGATTCTTCCATTTGTCTTTTTTACTTATCATAGTGGCTTGTGTTCTTTTGATATGTACTCCATCCGTCCCAAAATATCTGTCGCTTTTGCTTCCCGAAAAACAACTTTGACAAAATATATATTAAAAATATTAATATTTATGGTACATAATTGGTATCATTGGAAAGATTTTGAATCTAGTTTTTTTTAATAAATTTATTTAGAGATACAAATGTTACATGTATTTTCTACAAATCGAGTCAAACTTACGGCACGAAAACCAAAAGCGACAGATAATTTAGGACTGAGGGAGTATTTGACTTGGACTCACGGCCTATGATCATACGAATTAGAACCTCGCATTTCTTTAGGATAGAGGGAGTATTTTTTCCTTTCACTCTATAAGCTTCCACAATTCACGTGATATTTACTACTCCGTTTGTTACAAAAATATTACAACTATAATATTTGTACCGGTTAAACTAGCTTTAATTTTTTTTGAAAGTAACTAGCTTTAAATTTGACCTGAATAATATTAACTTGATCTAATAGTACTTATTTTGTATATAAATGTTAGTATGTATTATTTTTTTATACAACTTTAGTCAACTTCAAACTGTTTGATATCTTAAAAAGTAAGAATTGTAATTTTTAAAACGGAGGAAGTAGTTGGGAAAATAGCATAGTTGAAAAATGTATGCACAAAAAAGGGTAGTTCGTATGTCATGATAATTTACTCCGTGCTAGCATCACCAATTCAGCACTCAGCAGGCATTCATTCATGTCCGTTTGAAAACCTGAGCTCTACTGCGGTGCAGCTGTGCACTGCTGCACACTCTGCGCCTTGTCCCTCTATTTTTTAAAAAAAGCTAGCCCTGCGGTCAAAGCCTGTCGTTGGCAGTTCTTTACAGCATGCTCGGCGCAGAGTACACGGCTCCGACGTCGGCGCCTATGATATGCGACGCTGAGCTCGGCGCCATATATTCTGACATCCAGATACCGGCTACATGAGCGTCACTAGGATGCCCTGCTGTGCATGGCTAGGCATCTTAGAGCCAAGATTTGTGACGCCGAGACGTGTTATCTTGGTGTTATGAGTCCTAGCGCCGATCCCAGGTTCCAAATATGAGTTTAAGTCTCTTATAGAGTGAAACGTATTTTTTTAAAAAAATAATCAAATTGTAAAAAATTAGGGCCTGGCGCCCGGCCGTATAAGTCGTCGTGGCGGCCCGCGTGTACTTGCCTACTGGTAAGGTCCCCGGCGACGCGGTGTCGCCACGCCTCGACGGCTCAAGTACAAAGGGAAAGCTACTCGCCCGACGGCCCGCGTGTACTTGCCTACTTTCCGGTCTCTGGTCGTCCTTCACCCTCTGTACGTTCATGCAGTGTTGCTCTCACTGGTTTTCTTCTTCCTCTGGTCCTCCCCTTCTCTGCTCAGCTCTGCGTCTTTCCGCTGCAGTTTCACTAATTTCTTTCCCTTTCGATTCGCAGAGGCTTCAGTTCAGAGATTCTCTAATCGGGTCGGCGGCTAACGTCGATAGCTAAGTTTTTGGTAGCATTTGCAGTCTACTCACAACTTTTTTCCGTTTTCAACCAACCTTTGGTGCTTCTTGAATTCTCGTGCTCTTGTGACATTCAGGAAGGCCATTTTCAGATCGAGCTAGTTCAGCCGAGCCGTTTTTTCAGCCAGAGATCGCCATCTTTTGGACCTGCTCTTGATTCGTTCGTTTGGATTGTTTGATTCGTTTTGACTTTCCTTCGCTCCTCTGCTCCGTCAAGCGGACCTCCTCTGTTCTTCTGCCATTGCTGGATCGCGTTTGTTTGTTTGTTTGTTTGTTTGTTCGGTTGTTGGTGTGGCCATGGATCCCTTCCACGGCATTGTGAAGGAGGAGGAGTTCGACTTCGACTTCGACTTCACCGGCGCGTATGCGGGGGACGCGCCGACGGCGACGGCGGCGTCCTCGTGGGCCGTCACCTTGCCGGAGCTGCCCCGGCCGATGGAAGGACTCGGCGAGGTGGGCCCCACTCCGTTCCTGACCAAGACCTACGACGTCGTGGACGACCCCAACACCGACACCGTCGTCTCCTGGGGGTTCGCCGGCAACAGCTTCGTCGTCTGGGACGCCAACGCCTTCGCCACGGTGATCCTCCCGCGCTACTTGAAGCACAGCAACTTCTCCAGCTTCGTCCGCCAGCTCAACACCTACGTAAGTCCTGTCCACTCTCTGTTCTTGGGTTTCAATTCGGTGTTCAATGCTTGAGCCGTCAATGGCGGTCTATCGCCGGCATGTGACGCTGAACTCGTTCGTTCTTTGCATTGCATTGCAGGGGTTCAGGAAGGTTGACCCAGACAGGTGGGAGTTCGCGAACGAGGGGTTCCAGCGTGGCCAGAGGGAGCTCCTGAAGACGATCAAGCGCCGGCGCCCGTCGTCGAGCCCGTCGTCGGCGCAGCAGGGGCAGGTGCCGTCGGCGTGCCTGGAGGTGGGGCAGTTCGGGCTCGACGGCGAGGTGCACCGGCTGCAGCGAGACAAGGGGATCCTGCTCGCGGAGGTGGTGAAGCTGCGGCAGGAGCAGCAGGCGACGCGCGCGCAGATGCAGGCCATGGAGGAGCGCATCGCCACGGCGGAGCAGAAGCAGCAGCAGATGACGGTGTTCCTGGCTCGCGCCATGAAGAACCCGAGCTTCATCCGGATGCTTGTCGACCGGCAGGGCCTTGGCGGCCGCCGCAGGGAGCTCGAGGACGCGCTCTCCAAGAAGCGCCGCCGCCCCATCGAGTACCACCTCCCGCGCGACGGCGAGTGCAGCGGCACCGCCACGGAGGCGGCGGTGAGCGACTACATTTCTGGCCTTCCGGTCGGCGTCAACGGCGTGGCGGAGGCGGACGACTACGAGAGCGAGCGGGAGGGGAGCGGTGTCGTCGGCGGCGGCGAGGACACGGAGAGCTTCTGGGTGGAGTTGCTCAGTCTCGGCCTGGAGGAGAATCACCAGGAGGGCGGCGGCGGCGGTCCCGGCGAGGAGGGGAGCGGAGCTGACGTGGACAACGACGTGGACGACGACGTGGATGTGCTGGTGCAGAGCATCTACCACTTGAACCCCAACCCGGGCAGCCCCAGGGGCAAGTGAAACTTCCAGAACGTTCCATATTCCAGAACCCACTATGGTCTATGGAAGCTCCCAGTGGGCATTGCATGTAGGCGATGGTTTTTATCCGGCGCTTGACTTTTTGTCGCGGGCGGCGCAAGTTGCAAAAGTGCTTGCGGTTGGCCGGTTGCCAAGGAATGAATGTTCAGGATCATACCTGGGCATCGGGCCGGCCCGGCCCGGCACGGCACGGTCACGGGCCGGCATGGCACGATGGCTATCGGGCCAAGGAGGCACGTCGTGCCCTGCGGGCCGTGCCTCATCGGCCTGCGGGCCTGGCCTTCGGCCGCACGGGCTGTAGGCCATTTTTTGTGCCGTGCGGCCCGTGAGGCACGACAAAAATAGCGAGCCGTGCGCCGCACGCCGTTCGTTAAATCTAAAACACCTCCAAATAAACATCTCAATCCATTTAGGGTGGTTGTGTCCCGCGGGTGGCGTCATCAAACACCGCAAAGGGGTCACGGCCGTCGTCGTCGTGCTCCGGGGACAGCCCAGCCGCGACCAAGTCATCGTCGCCAGTCACAGGGAACATGGCACCGTCGCCCTGCGGGTCACACGCCATGGGGCCCTCGGAAGCGGACGGTTGAACTCCAAAGACCGCTCTCAACGGTGCGCTGGCGGCTACTGACTTGCCATCATGCCATTATTGCTCGTCGTCTGCTCACGCCAAGGCTAGTTGACGACGAGGCATCGGCAGCAGACCGCAAAGAAAAAAGAACACGAAAAGAAAAAAAGGATGAGAAAATGATCCCAAAAATGTAATCAAAACACCGAGAAACGATAGATCTAGAGGCTAGGGTTAGGGTTACGAATGGGGATGGACTTGCTCACAAGCCGGAGCCGGTGAGAAAATGATCCCAAAAATGAATCAAAACACCGAGAAACGTATAGATCTAGGGGCTAGGGTTAGGGTTACGAATAGGGATGGACTTGCCTCATTAATCGGAGCTCGGCGCCCGAGAAGACGAGGGCCACACAAGGGCAAGACGGGATTAAGAAGGACGGCGAAGCGGCGGCGGAAGAGAGAGGCGGGAGGCGGACTCACATGTTCATCGACAAACAGAGGAGAAGGAGTAAAAAGGAAGACGGAGAGGGACCGAGGGAGCAGTGTAACTCGGGGAGAGGTGATGGAGCGGCGGCGATATCACCGGATCCAAGGATTTACTTTGCAGACCGGCGTGGCGAAGATGGATCGACGAGAGGAGGCGAGTGGCGCACGAGCGCGACCGAGCGGGTGTCGAGTCTTGGCTGCGTTGGGAGACGAATGGGGTTAGGGTTAAGGTGGGGTGGGGGCTGCGGGGGTCGCGGTTATATGGGGAGCCGGGAGGAGGCCAGAGGGAGGGGGGCGTTCTTGGGCGCCGCCACACCCGGCTTATGGGCCATGCTGCGTCGGGCTCAGGGGCCTAGGGTGCGGCCCAAGCACGGCCTGCCCCGTCTTAAGTGCAGTGCCACCGGCCCATTGACTTCTTGGTCGGGCCGGGCTAGGGCCGGGCCTAAATAGCGGGCTCCGTGCCGGGCTCACGGGCTCGGGCTTTGTGTCCAGATATATTCAGGATGTTCGTCGGAATACGAAGCTTTTAGAAGACGAACACTTTCCAAATGTGGCTGATGGTGCCATTCTTCAGTGGTACCTGATGTGCATATATTTTCTGAAGTTCTGAAAGGATCTCTGTCCTGTCTGTAACTGTCGTTCCGCCTCTGAGTGCTGACAATTTTTTGCGGACACCGGCTCTATTTCGTGGGGCTTCTATTTAAGCTCTATGGCCGGCTCAAGCTCACTCTCTTAGTCATTTACATTGACAATAGCAACCTTGTGAGCTTAGCCAAAGCCCTCCCACTCATCTTCATCATTGATTAATTATTTTTGTGAGATTGGAAGAGAATCCAAGTGCATTGCTTGAGTATTTGCATCTAGAGGCATGTTCGTGTTTCGCTGCGGGATTCGCTTGTTACTCTTGGTGGTTGCCGCCACCTAGACGGCTTGGAGCAGCGAGGATCGTCAAGCGGAGATTGGTGATTATCTCCGGCTCCGATCGTGGTAATTGTGAGGGGTTCTTGACCTTTCTCCGGCGGAGAGCCAAAAGATACTCTAGTGGATTGCTCGTGGTTTGTGTGATCCTCATCTTGTGTTGGTTGTGCGGCACCCTATTGAGGGTTTGGCGTGTGATGCCAATTAGCGCGTGAAACTCCAAGTGCGTGAATCGCCACAACGAGGAGTAGCTTGCCGGCAAATAAGTGAATCTCGGTAAAAAATCATTGTGTTCATCATTTGATTCCGAGGTGATTGATCTTCATTGATATTGATTATTGTGATTGATTGGTTCACTTCTCGACACGGTGGTATAACTATCTTACTCACTCTTTTTATATTACCTCAAATTAGTTGTCAAGCTCTTTAGTTTAACTAGTTGTGAGAGCTTGTTGGTTTGGTTAGTGTGGCTCTTTAGTTAACCTTTGAGAGTACACTAACTTACTGTAGTGACATAGCTATTGTGTGGATAGAAACTATATCAACTAGAATTATAGTAGGTGGCTTGTATTTTTTGTAGGCTAGCGCAATACTTGCTTCGCCTTATAATTATATAACCGGTTTGTTAAGTGTTGTTGTAGAAATTTTTATGAGGCTATTCACCCCCCTCTAGCTATTAGGACCTTTCAGGACGGCGCGAGCCCTGGACGCCGGAAAACAGACTGCACCCACGAGCGCCGGTTGCTAGCAGTGCCGATGAGCTAAACACACCAAATCCCACCGCCACGGAGAAAATATGTTGCAATGGTTATACACGTATGCTGTAAGAGTCTGTCTCCAATGTTTCATCTGTTTTTCCACACCTATGTTACAACCGTATTTATTTAGACGTTGCATATGTTTTCACACATATATTATAAGTGTTTTATCTAGACGTCGTGTATGTTTGCGATGGTTGTCAAGTGTTTTTCAAGTATTTTTGCTAGTGTTTCAGAAGCATGTTTCAAATGTTTTATTTATCTTTTTTATGTTATAAATGTTGCATCCGAATGTTTTAAAAGTAAGGGGGTGTTTGGTTGTCCTTTCTAAACTTTAGTCGCTGTCCTATCGGATGTTTAGATACATGCACGGAGTATTAAATATAGACTAATTACGAAACTAATTATATAATTTGCGAGACGAATCTTTTAAGCCTAATTAGTTTATGATTTGGCAATGTTTTGCTACAGTAAACATGTGCTGATAGGCTTAAAAAATTCGTCTCATGAAATACTGACAAATTATGTAATTTATTTTTTTATTAGTATTTAAACACCCCATACAACATCTTTCTAATATCCTTCTAAATTTTAGTAGCCGGCTCCAACGCCCCTAAATTAAGCGTTGCACGTGGATACGCGTGGGACCGCGTGGGACCGTGGGAACCTGGAGGAGGGCACGAGCAGTCCCCGCAGGCGCGTGGCGTGGACCCCTGCGTGACCGCGACACGCAGGCGCGGGCGAGGGATGTTCGGACGGCGCGAGCCCTGGACGCCGGAAAGCAGACTGCACCCGCGAGCGCCGGTTGCTAGCAGTGCCGATGAGCTAAACGCACCAAATCCCACCGCCACGTCAGCACATGGGAGCCAATCGCACCCACATAGCCACGCAAGGAGCACGACCCCGTTTCGTACCCACGCGATTACGCGATTCGCAATGTGCTTTATTGCAAAAACACGCATCACCTCCGTTGCCATCTCGCTCCCGTGACCCACCCCGTCGCGTCTCGGCTTGGCTTCCTCCTCCCGACGACCGCCGTGCAGGAGCGGAGCTCCCCGCCGCTTCTCTCTCCCCCTTCCGAGAGGCCCGAGCCCTGATCTCGCGCTGAGGGCGGTGGTATCAGGAGATTAGCGATGGCGAGGTGGCGGCCGGCGGCGCTGCTGGTAGTGGCGCTGGCGGCGGTTCTGTCGGCGGCGCGGCGGGCGGATGCGCTCTCGGTGACGGTGACCGACACCGAGTGCATCCACGAGTTCGTGCCCTACGAGGGTGACACCGTGTCCGGGAACTTCGTCGTTGTCGACCACGACATCTTCTGGAGTTCCGACCACCCAGGCATCGACCTCACGGTACACAACCGATCCCCTTGTCCCCAGCCGTACTCCAATCCTGCGCGGTTAAATTTGACGGTAGGATAGTCGTTCGATTGGGTTTATGGGTTGTTTTGATGGGGATCTGGCCATCAGGTGGATTGAATTGGGGATCGGGTGCCTTCATGATTCGTGATCCCCTGACGCGATCTCTTGTTTATGCATCAGTTTAGCGATCTAAAATAGTTTTTAATGATTCGCACAAGGCTTTATATAGTTTAGCTTGATGAATTAGTAGTGTTCGCTGCTTAGGAGTTGATTCAGTAACGGGTTTTGCAAAGTTCGCACCTTTTGGGGAATTTCAGCCGATTGTCACTGCTTTGGTATACTGTCTGCTGCGGGTGTCTTGCGAGTGCACAGTATTGTTAGTTCAGGTATGGTTGGATGATAATGTGCTGTTTCGCTGCTGGTTACCTCAAAAGTTGTCCCCTGCAGTTGTTTGGATTCTTGGTCTTGCGGGAAGGAGTTTTTTTTTGGTGAAATTTGACGCCGATTTCACTGTAGTTTCATATTCAGTTGCTATGTTGTTGGCTCTCTTTGTTGGGTTCTGTTGCAAACTTGCAATTGATGCTAATAGATGTTCAATTTTCTAGTCTGTCTTATGGTTCAATTGAGTTAACACTACCGTGGATGCTGCAATTGATTCATATACCTCCTGGTCCTGTCTAGATAAGCTGGCAGCTGTGCCTTTCTGATAGTTTGGACATTTGTTTTGCGCTAGTAGTTTTACTGTGCTATATTCTTTGCTTGGAGATGCATCTGTTCCTATCTGAGTAGAAAGGAGGGTTTCTCTCTTGCCCCATATTTTTGGCAGTTTGGGCCTTTTTCTGTTGGACTTTCAGATGTGTCCTTCTGTGCAGTGCTTTCACATGCTTAGCACTGAAGAATTCATTTTTGAGTGGAAACCATTTATCTCTCTGATTTTAAAGTTAGCATATTGTTTCTGTAGAAGGTACACTCTATTTGGCAACATTTTAGTTTTTAGTTTCGCAGATGAAAATAAATATCTGTTTGAGAGGAAGCAATGTTTTGATGTCTCAGAAAACTCTTATCCATTACACTGAATGAAACCTAATGCACTTGGGAAAATAATGGGTTTCACTTACGGAAAATTGGTTCTATAGCTTTAAATGATCACGAGAATGGTAAAATACCATTGAAAGATCACGCAAATGTAAAATACCACTGAAACAACCAAACTCCAACTGAATCTAGCACTCCGTTACATTTTGCTATCAGCGGTATCAGCTAAGACAAAAGATACCCCTGAACACCATGGCGCCGGAGGAACAAGCCGCAGCTTGAGCGCCCGGGACAGTCGGCCGCCACCGCATGCCGGCAGGAAAGCCAATGGCATCAGGTGGTGTCACAGACCAGGCCGGTGGTGGCAGCGTGGACTGGGCCAAAGGCCGGTGGGTGGCCGGCGCTGCGTGGACTGGGACCAAGCTGGCTGGTGGGAGCGGCGTCGTAGTGTCAAAGCAGGAGGTGTCGTACGGTTGCAGGCTCTTTGCAGTGCATGCGGTTGGGAGATGAGGATAAGTTTGGTTGGACTTACGCACAAGGGTACAATTGTCATCCTGTTCCGTTGTGTTAGCTGCAAACATGAAAATACGATTTCTGTCAATAAAATCTAATGGAATGCTAGATCCGGTTAGAGTTTGGACGTTTCAATGGTATTTTACCTTGGCATGACATTTTGGTGGTATTTTACAATTCTCGGGATCTTTCAGTGCTTTAGAACTAATTTTCCTTTTCACTTATTGCATTACTGATGTTTTCATTTGTTGCCCTGTTCTTCATCTTGGAGTGCTCCTATCGCCAATCTGTCACCAACATTGAGGTTGAGGGCCTTGGCACTATGCCATCTATAGTCAACTACCGGTCACCTCTTATTCCCAACAAGGCAACAAAGCAATGATGTTTGTTACTTTTGGAAATGTCTAAAGTGGTCCTAGTGCAATTACAAGTGCTATTAATATTATTAGTACTTCTAAAATTAATGCAATTACAGTTTTTTGCACATGGTTGGATGCTTTGTTCTGCGGGTGAAGTTATACGCTGTGATTAAAACGCTTGTCGTTTTCGTAGATCGGTTTGTGCCAGTTGGGTGAACCCTCTGTGTTCATTTCAACATGGTTTCTTTAGGTTCGCTGCGTTTGTTTTTGCTTTGTTACAAACTATTGTAATTTCGTTACTGTCAAGTATGAAATTCGGCTTGGCCGTGGTGGAAAAAAAGTACCTGCATATAGTTTTTTCAATATGCTCTGTGTAATGTGTGGGTAGTAAAGTATATATTTGCGTTATACACTTGATATGATGTTCTATATTAACTTTTGCTTCTGTAAATACAGGTAACGTCACCAGGTGGAAACACTGTACACACATTGAAGGGAAAATCTGGTGACAAATTTGAGTTTAAAGCTCCGAGGGGTGGCATGTACAAGTTCTGCTTCCATAACCCATATGGAGCACCTGAGACTGTTTCTTTCTACATTCATGTTGGGCACATACCCAATGAGCACAATCTGGCGAAAGATGGTTTGTTTACTGCCTTTCTATCTTAAGCTTCTCAGCACCGGCCTACTCTGTCAATCTTAACCGTTTTGCAAATACTAAACAACCATCAATTCGATTGATTTTTTTTTACCTTCATTATTGTTCAGAGTTATGCGTCATTCGTCCAGTGTTAACATTTTAGCACTGCCATGTGTGTAAGCAATGTCTCATTTATGTTGCAGAGCACTTGGACCCTATCAACGTTAAAATCGCGGAGCTGAAGGAAGCATTAGAATCCGTCACCGCCGAGCAGAAGTACCTAAAAGCACGCGAAGCTCGTCACCGACACAGTAAGCTCAATGGACTTGGGACTTGCATGTGCTCTTATTACATCTCTGGAATGTTTAGCACATTATAGCGTTTATGCTAGTTTATTTTTCTTTTGAAAAATAACATCAATGCTAACAGAAAGAAGGGCCCTAGCAGTTAGAAGTTAGAACCCATTCATGCCAACATTTCTGAATGCATTAGAGTTAGAGCGCAACTAATGTTGTGACTTGATGTAGAGATTAGCATCCATCTATTCTCCACCTATCTAAGTTTGTATCTAGTTTTATCACAGCCTACTTATCGAATAAATGTGTTCTTCAATGTAGAGGGGACAAAGTGACAAACAGATGATTTTGTTTAGTTAAATTGTTCAACATGTTATGTTTTGCCTGCCTCTTTCAGTTTCCTTTCAAGTAAAAAAAATGCCTTGTGCTGAGATCTCTATAAAATCTAGGTAACAAACGACTAATTACGTAGCAGGGGACAGGACATTACGAATACATTTTCTTCTGTTGGTGTTTTCATGTATTTATTGCTACCATTTTATGACAATGCGGAGTTAATTTCATGCTTTGATTCAATCCAGCTAATGAGAGCACCAGAAAGCGTGTCATGTTCTATACAATGGCGGAGTACATAGCTTTCATGGCTGCTAGCGCGTTGCAAGTCCTCTACATCCGTCGCTTGTTCAGTAAAAATGTGGGATACAACAGAGTCTAGGATACAACTCTACTTCAAAGGCGGCAGCGGAAGCACCACATGGTCGGAACGGGAAACATTCTCTGCCAATTTGACAAATTGTAGCTCTGCACCCTCTCTTTTTTTTTGGGTTAGTTTATAAGAAACACTTTTTAATTTATCATCGTGTACTTTTAGCAACACTTGTGGTATGTTAAGTGCATCTGATGCTGAACATAGTTCCATAATTAATCTTCAGAGGATCGTTATGAAAGTTAGTATTGTTCTGCTACCGATTTTGATTGTTAATTCTGTGATGTCTTTAAGAATGGTTATGCCTCTATGCCATTGTTTGGAGCAGAAGAGTGTTACATCTGACAGTAGCACCATGGCGACATTGTGCACCATTTCACGCCTTAGATTGAACATAATAAGTTGTTTAATGGAAAATATGTATATGTACTCCCAAATTCCTGAACAGAATTCCACCTCACACTTGCAGTGCACATTTCCTGGCATCTGGCACAGGAGGGAGGGATAAGTGTTTTTAATAAGGCGGCGTTCGGTTACGCCATTCCTGGCCGTTCTTGGCTAGGAATAGTTCCCGCTCTATAGAAACCGCATGCCAGGAATCGTTCTGGCCAGGATTTGTGGTAACCAAACAAGGCCTAACTATATAAAGAAATGGCAAATTGGCGAGGCAATGAGAATGCCGGGCGTGTTCGGCTGGCTGGCCAGCCACCTTACAGAATCACTATTCACGTCCTGCCAGAACAGTATTTTTCTATCACAACAATCAGCCGGAACAGTATTTTTCAGTCCTGCCGAACAGGCTAACCATCTGTAACCATGGTCGACATAACTGTGCTAATTTAGTTTCTAAAAAATGTGCTAATTTAGTAATTTCCAATAAGAATAGGGGTGCAAATTAGCGACCCTAAGGTGGCGTTTTCAAAATGGGTCTCCACCACACTTATATTTTGAAAAAGCAGTACAATTTGTTGAACCAAACTGGGTCACCAACTGGCACCCGTTGTGTCAAATAAAACTGTGCAATTCACAGCTTATACCTAGCGACAATGCCACATCACAGACAGCAGTACCATGCCCCAATTTCCACGTTATCTCTATTGGAGCAGTAGGGGATACTTATTTACTTACTAGAACTCCTGATGCAGATAGAAGTTGTTGTATATGTATATCAAATCAAATACTTCCCAATCAAGTACATTGACATTTTTATTTGACAATTGAGTTCAAATGGACATAGGGAAGTATCAAATTTGTTGCACCATGACAGAGGTTTGAACTTGGACATGCATATCTTTTGGTCAGAATAAAGCTGCAGACCTTTGTTTGATCGTATTGCTTTCATATAATCACACTCTTGGCCACTGTGGGCTGACTACCTGCAGAGTAAATAAACAAAGTCATCACTAACAAGCATATCATATTTTTACTAAGCGTGTACATATTGACGGTGCTGCTATAAACCTCTAATGTGCTGAAAACTAACTGCATGCGGCTAGCAACTACTGATGGTTCCTCTGAATTTCCTGTGACAGCCATCTGTTCCAGCTGCAAGGTTTTCACTGGTAACCTGCAGCGTCAATTTTAGGAACATGTATGAAATTCTGAGATAAAAGAACAACACTGCTGGCAGAAACTGCTCTTACCATGCCATTCCTTTGACATAGTAAGCGTTTGCGATTATAGCACAAAATCCTTTCCACTGATGCAAGACGTCAGCTGACACCGGTGGGTTAGTAGACCACCTGGTAACTGTTAGTTGTGGTGTGCACAATATTGTGATGAACACTATACTCAGCCACAGAATGCACTCGCGAGTCTGCATAAAAGAGTGTCACTGAGGCAAAGTATGAAACTAGAGAAGATCTTATGGGGGACATTTGCATCACAAACATGCCCGCTACTGAATTACATGATACCTTATAAAAGCTTCATATCTTGCCAATGAGAACTAGTGAGTGGGCTTACTCTACTGAATACAAAAACTGACAAAAATAAAGATACTGCGTAAACAAATCAAAGTGCATATTTTTCTAAAGCAACAAGATCAAAGCAAAACTGTTTGAGTTTGACTTGACTACAAAAGCTGCAATATAAAAATGTAAATGCATAACAGAAGATGATATTGAACAGTAATATCAAAAAATAAATGACGCGACACATGATTGTCAGAGTATGCTGACCTCAAATGAGTGGACTTGGAACTTCGAGCTGGTCCCCCCTAAGGACCCTAAGCCTTCAATCTCTAGACCAGAATCTTCAATATCCATAAGTTCCTTTCTAAGCCCCTCATCTGTACACCCTAGTGCATATGCGGTCACTCCAGCACTGACAAACTCCTGAATATATTCTCAGACACAGTAATTACTAATTAGCACACAGAAAAACTTCTGGCAAGTATGGTGAAGATTCAACAAGAATAAATACTTTTAGGTTTTCTCCACCTCCTCCTCGATCAATAACTTTCTTATACCGCTTGAATAAACTGATCGCTATGTTACGTGATGAGCGGAAGTCATCATCGGGCGAAGCATTAACATGGAATCGATGCTGCATACAACAAAATGCTTTAATAATAGGGAAAAAACAGTGATCAAAATCGCAAAAAGGAGGGCAAGGAATACCAGCAAGTGCCTTGTAGTTCTTTCATTTAAGCTTTTACACAGAAGATGGCTGGTTCTAGTGAAGTTAACTTTGTGGCTGTGAACAATGTGTGGCTTCTGTACATGATAGCCTTCTGCTGAACTGCAAACCGCACTGCATCCTAATTTACAATGAATAACAGAGGCACTCTTTTCAGAGAGTTTTAGGTCCCGGCAAGAACTAGGCCTCACAAAAGGAACAGTTTCATGTAGCATCAGCATGACTGAGTACTCATCAGACTCCAAGCTATCTGCACATTCCTCTGAAAACAGGAGAGGACTCCAGAAGGCAATTCAACCTACGACAGAGTATATACTTTAATCAATCACCAAGAAGAACTAGGAGCACCACAGATCTTGCAAGCTTAAACTATGCTCAATTATAACAAGCAGTCTGCTAATCTCCCAACTTTAGTGGCATATGAGGGACGCGTCCAAAGATTAAAATCAAGCAAAATGAATACTACAAGTAAAAAGCATGAACAATGGCAACTGTTGCTGAATGAACCAACCAAAACATTTTTTTACTATCAATATACTGAATACATGAGAAGCAGAAAATATCCATGTTACTCGGCGACAAAAGCTAATTCACAGACCATGTTCCAACTTCCAACAACGAACTTCATCTTCATGCCAGCTTAAGTTTCAAAACAGACTTTTACTTCTCTTCAAAATACGATTGCCTTAGTGACCCAAAATAACACATTTTAAAAACAAAAAGAAATGAAAAAAATAAGAAACACCCCACAAAGCTCTACTAGGATCATTCCACCCAGCATGGCAGCATACTTGATGTCAATTAACACTCATTTGACTACCGATGTAACAGTAAGAATCTGCGCGTTTATGTTGCATAAAGAAGCAAGCCAAATTCCATAGGAAGAAGAAAACAAATCAGTATTCCCCTTTCAAACAACCCAAGGAAATAAAACTGAAGATCCTGGCTCATGAATACTAGCCCAAACAAGCAACCTGCCTACGGGTACCTGATATCCAGATCACATCACCAGGTACTGAGCTGAAACGAACTGCAAGGGGAGCAGGCCTCACCTCCCGGGGGGGCAGCGGCCGGAAGATGGCGCCTGGCAGACTGGCGGTGTCTCCAAGAAGGTGGGAGTGGGACGGGAGAGGTGGGGACGTGGAAATATATAGATACGTGGAGGGGTTAAGTGGCTAAAATTTGGCGAGCGAAATGTAATAAGGGAACAAGAAATTCTCGAGGGCCACAATAAAAAAACGACTGGCAAGGCGCGCGGAGGAAAGCGCGAGGATGGGAGCCCTCGGCCTGTCGCTGTAGCTGTCGCTGAATCTTTCAAGATGGGCCTGTTTGGCTGTTTATGGCCCGTAGATGGGCCTGTTTGGCTGCTTATGGCCCGTAGAGGGAAGCCGTCTGGGCTCTTCCTTGTTACTTCTGGGTCTCGGCGTCTCGCTCATCCACAAACCCTGTGAAACTCAGTCACACACAAGCTCCGCCCTGGAATATATCTCTTCCAGCACTAAAATCTGGTCTCCCTATTCTTTCGTTATCAAAGCATTAGTCGCGTCTACTAAAAATAAGTCATGGAATGATCACTCCGTTTTTTTTTAAATAAAGTGTATTTGTAGAGAAAATGAAAACATATTCGGCATGTTCGCTTGTTAGTTTTAGTCAGGACTTAGTGTTTTCCTCCCAGAACAAACCAGCACCAGTCGGGTTTATCAGTTCAGAAACCAACCAACGAACAGGCTGATTGTTTCATGGACATTAAAATGCCAGCAACCACGGGAATAATGATATTATTGTAACTGATTAACCAAGCATCTGGATGAGAGGTCCTGAATAGTTTCAGTTGCTACTTTCCAACAGCAACGCTCCAACGAACAAATCAAAAGGCTAATGTGTCAACGAGGAGGTTTCTCACCCCCCTCGTATTCACTCGTCTAGTAATGATCAGATGCGTCCTATTGGTGTGCTATTATCAAGTATCAACAGAACAAACAGGTCCCGATCGTGTGATGTCGTTGCTTGAGAAAAATGCTTTGGCATATAGTATGTCGTTGGGGAGGGTTGCATGCTCGTATCCATACCCATACGTTGCTTATCCGCATGTTTATCCCTCCCCATTTTTGCTCATACCCAATTATTCCCCATATCCATCGGATAATTGAGTATCCAATTTACTTATCAAGGTACTACTACAGTCAGATTCCCAGCTGATGGACGAGGTTGCTGCATGCCTGCATAGCAGCTGAATGCTAACGATAGTAAATAAAAGGTCAATCACCATTCATTGTGACAAGCAAATAGTACAATAATGACAATTGAACTAAAATATAATGGCCTTATTCATTTCGCTGAAATTTGGCTGATGTTGTTGCTTATGCTGATTTGTTGTGAGAGAAAAACATTATTTCTTCGCTAAAAAGTACTGCTGAAGTAGTGCGGTATAACAGGGTGAACAAAATTGCAAGCAACTGAGGCAGCGGCAGCGGTGGCTCGATCGGAGCCTCTTCCAGCGGCAAGCGGCACTGATGGGGCCAGCGCAGGGGCAGCCTCGACGGAGCGGCACAGGGGCCACGTCACGGTGACGGTTAGTGGCACACCGTCGTCGTCGCCCCCCCCCCCCCCCCCTTTAAGCCCGATGATCATGGAAGGCTCCTCTGAAAATTTGAAATCCTGACCTCAATTCCAACGTCACCACCTCCACCATCTTGGCCCACAGCAATCTCGCCGCTGGCTATCCCACCCAAACCCTGCCACTCCCTCTTCTATTTTTTTTAACATGGAAGTAAACTCCATTACTCGGCAACTGAGGCCAAATCCTTGGCCACCTGAATACAAACTAGGATATTGTCTCTTATGCCGAGATCGTATCCGGACTAAGCCCGGCTCATAGGGTGTGTTTGGCAACTACGTGGGAAGAGACATGGGAATTAGTGGTGGGAGTTGTCAAAGGGAATTAAGGTGGGAAATTGACTTTTAGTCCCAATCCCTTGTTTGGTTTGTGAAGGGAAATAAGAAGAGAAAATGAAGAGGAAATTCATATCCCCTGTTTGGTATGGGGGTTTTGAGGAGGAAGTTAAAAGGCAAATCATGATGGACGGTGCGGATCTACTTTTCTTTGATTAAGAACATAACTCTCACCCAATGCCCATCCCTTTCCTAGGGAATTGATTAGTGGGAGTTAGCCCTCTAAACTCCCCTTCCCCTTCCCACCAGAATTCTCATTCTCATAAAACAAACAAAAGATTTGTAAATTCCTATCTCTAAACTCCCATTCTCTGCTTCCCATTATCCCCAACCAAACGAGCCGCTAGTGCAGCAAGAGCAAGACCATGAGCAACCAAATAAAGATTGTGCTCCTCCACCTCTCGACTAACGGCGTCCCACCTTACCTTTGCCTCGCTCTAGCGCCCGCCACCAATGCTGACATGGACTTCCTCCGCCGGATTCCAGCAACCCAGCTCCTGAAAGGCTGAAACCCAAACCCCCAACCACCGGCCTTTTTCTGGCTTCTGTCATGCATTACTATGGCCCTGACCCAGTGACTTGTAACGACCCACCATTTTAGCTCATAGTTAATGACAGCTAAGTGCACAGTAAACAAAAATCAATTACAACAAGCTGGACAATTTAGTACACTCTAATATTAAAATGCATAAATCAAATATTAATCCATGGTGGTGTTTATATACACCGGTAGACCAAGTTCACTCAAAAAAAGAACTCAGGCCACCATTCTTTTACATATTAAAATACTCTAGAACACTCAACACTATGCCTACAGTTCACAGTTGGTACACATGAGGTGTAGCCATGCCCTTCTATAGAAGGGAACCAACCAATCAACTTGCATCAGCCCATCAACATAGTGAATTTCTTTGACTAGGCCACGACTGAGATTAAAATATCTTAGGAGAGCTGAAGGAGTAGAAGAAGAGGGGCTCAGTATAGGTGAAAGGGGCCTTGCCTCCATCGAAGTAGCAATCACTCAGTTCTAGGCTAGCTCCCCACTCAGGATTGAGGACTCCAGAAAAACATCTCGTGCACTCTTTGTTTGAGAAAAACGCCAACTCTTCTACCAGCACAAGATGGTGACTTGATCACCATGGAGAGCGACATGGGGTGAGAAGGGGGGCTGACCAGGAGAGGAAGTCACTAGAGAGCCCAAGTGCTGCAAGCAAATCAGAAGCACATTTGAAGCAATCAAGACCTGCAAGAGAAGGAGCAAGTGTCTGAGGGAAATAAGCCCAAAGTTGGAGCTAAACGTCATCAAGATTAAGGTGAGGTTCACAGGCACATCTTAGAATATTTCTTCTTCTCTCTACCCAGAACGCAAAGCACCTTCTATGGGAAGAACCATCTGTTCTAGAGCAGCACAACAATTAGGTGCTCAATAATATTTTGGCCCAAGAGAGATATGCCAACTATTATCAGAACAAGAACAAGCATTCCTTCTTTAGTAAAAAGCTACACATAAAAATACTTGAGTCTTGGCTAAAACACTAACACAAGAACCTATACATCTAGAGCACTCAGGTATGTATCTTTAGTTATAGAGTTGCAGGCTAGGTAAAAAAAAGAACGGAAGATGTGAGGGGAAAGAACTCACTGTCAGGTTGGAGAGGATTGTTGCTCGAGTCCAAATCTCCGCACATCAGCATGCTTGGGCCTCCGTGGCTCTAGCTGGGCGCCATGGTTGTCGAACTCGGCACCTCGGTGAAGCACGCCGCCGCCGCCTTCGTCGACCTGCACACATGAGCGAGAGAAATCAAGGGAAATCAAAAGGGAAAACCAGTGCATAGCAGCTAGAAACCATAGAGATTTGTTTTGGGTAGGAATCCTTGGAGAGTCTAGCAGCCATGGTCGTCGATGGAGGAAGGGGAAGGAAGCAGAGAGTAATCTTTTCCAAATGGGCCACCCGGCACGGCACGGCACGGGCACGGCATCGGCATCGACGCGGCGAGCGAGGCGCGACGACTATACTGACGCGGCGGCTGCCGTGCCGTACTGTTCGTTGCCACCACTGCCTAAGTGGCAGCCGAACACGGCACTATAGAGGGAAACCGTGCGTGCCGTGTGCTGCGTGCCAGCAGAGCGCGATGGCACGCCAGCGATGCCGTCTTGCGGCCCAAGCACTAACACATTTTTAACCGGTTCATCAAAGCATAAGTGCACAACTCAACTAGTTAGAAAAACACAAAGAAACACACGAGTTAAGAAAATAGGAATATATTTGGAGCATGTGCAATGGTTGCCTCATTAAAAACACCGCTAGGTAAAACTCACCCTTGTGAGAAACCCTAGCCGTGAAAAAGAGTACAACTAGCTCCATTAAAGTTCAATGTTCTTACATCATTGTCCAAGTCCAAGTTCTCATATTACAGAGCCAAGTTCAAGCTAAATGTAAAGACTAAACTAATAAAGATATGTTTCAAGCTTCAAGTTCAAGCTCCCAAAGCCACCGCAAAAAGAAGAACAGAGTTAGCATTAGGAGCACTTGATCAGTTAGCAAAAGAAGAAGAGGAAGTTAGGGTTGTGATTTACCTTGGCGGTGGGGCACTAATCAAGATAAAGCTCTTCAAATGTTTCCTCCACTCCGGTCCTCCACATTGTGTTGCACTTGCCTCCGCCAACTCCTAGTCCTTGACGTGGTGTGAGCCACTCCACCGCCTCCGGCTTGACCTCCTCCGCCGCTCCTCGATGATCCTACCACCATACTAAATGTAGATTACGAAGATATGGTAGACACAGAACAAGTTAAAACATCTTTAGCCATGATGGACAAAGACCGGATATGTCGGTTTGTGCTCATGCCACCATTTCAAGATGTCAAATGAATCATCCAACTCGCTAACAAAGATGTCACAATCCAAGTATGAGACAAGTTCGAAAGCATTAGAAGTCAGAGAAGTAGTGGCAACATGCAACAAAGCGATGAGCAGATGTATCTCTAGACAGATTAAAGAGAGAATACTGCGTTGAAGTACCCCCACCGGAAGGACTAGTCAGTATCATCATCGTAAATTTCATCCCAAGCGCACCTTTTCTTACAGATGTGTTTTGAGGGACAGTCCTCCTCAACCTAACAGGTTCCATATTTCTCCTCATACTTATTGAAAACATCAAGAAGCCTAGCTCTAGTGCCAACTTTGTAAGCAATCATAATCTGTACTAGTAAGGTTCATCAACTTCCTCAACACTTTTGCAAAACCCTTCATTTTAGCTCTAGGGTCCAAGATGAATGCAAAAGAATAGAGCAAAGGTATGTCCCTCAATATTTATTATATTTGTCTATCATAGGTTGAATCACATTTCTCGGTGAATGTCATTACTATAATTGTTCGGTGTATAGCAATCTTAACCGATAATGAAGCATAAGTGGAGATGTAGGATAGTAAACACCGGACAATGCAATAGTAGCATCATAGAAACAGATTCAAGAAACACAAATACTTTTTCAAAGTGACCCAATGTTCTTGATTAGAAGCAACTCACTATTCTCACCTCTATGATAATTGGCATGTATGAAAGTAGTGAAAGGATCTTTGTGAGGAAGCAAAGTCTTAAGCATTAGATATGTAGAGTTCCACCTTACATCCATGTCCAACTGAAACTTTCTAGGCCTAACACCATTTGCAATGCAAAGTCTTTTGTATGTTTGCAATCCTCTGATTAGATGAGTTTAAAAATGATATTGTAGTACTAAAAACTTCAATCAAAGGTTTAAGATAATTAAGTGCCTCCTTGACAATCAGGTTGATTATATGGCATGCACAATGATGCAAGAACATAGTACTAACAATGATTCAGTTCGGGATGTCTTGGATCCTCTACAGTACCTCAAGACCAAGATATTTAGACAAAAGCAGGTCTAAGTTTTTGCATAGCGAAACATTAGATGAAGCATTGTCCAAAGTAACAACAAAAACACTTTTTCAAAGAACACCATAATCACCAAGAACAGATGCAACTCTATCGGCCAATGTTACATCCATTATGGGAACAATCAATAAGCACAAGACCAAGCACCCTCTTCTCTAGTTGCCAATCGAGGATTTATGTAATGAGCAACAACACTAAGGTAGTCCTCTTTGGCTTTGCAGACCATATATCGAGGTTAGGCACACACAATTAACGAAATCGAAAGCAAGTAGCTCAACAAGCTTAGCCTTTCTATCGAGAAAACATTTTGGCTAAGTCTCTAGTGGTGGTTTGTGTAGAGACGACTGAAACTTAGGATTATGAGCATTACGGATGTATTCCTCAAATGCAAAGATTCACCAAAGCTTATAGGAACATCTACCCTAGCAAGCAATCGACAAAGTTCAAGACGAGAGCACGCATAGGACAAGAATCCCAATTACGCATAGAACCATCAGGATTAAAAGAGATCTGAGACTGACTAAAGCTCCTAGTTTTCTCTCGCCTAACAACACATTTATCCCTGTGACGACGGAGGTGGCCAGTGCCAATTGCAGATCTACCAGAATATTGCTTTTTGCAATGGATGCAGACAGCGCCATACCTGACCTTCTTACCTTTGGGACCCATCTTGAACAGCTTCTTGAAGTCAAGCCACACATCGAGGTGCAGGGGCGTGATACACGGTCATCGGCGTTCTCATCTTGTTCGTCGCCTTGGTCCTCTGCTCCATCACCACCTTCAACGTCGATCGGATCACCGGCTCCACCTCCAGATCCACGGCCGAAGAGCTCTTCTACCTCCTCGTTGCCCATGTTGTCGTCTTTGTCTTCTCCAGGAGCTCACAAACCTCTCGGACTCCTCATGAGTACGCAGACAAGGCAGCCTCGATCGTCTCTCTTCAGAGGGGGCCGGGAGGCATCGCCATCGGCCTCAAAACAGTACGCACAAGTGCACATGAGCAAGAAGAAGTAGATCATTAGATCAAGATTCAAGAACAAGAAGAAGAAGATGGTCAAGATCAAGAACTAAAGAAAGAACAAGAACGGTTAGGGTTAGGGTTTACTGCAGATTCTTACCTCAACGACGCCGACGACGTAGACGGAGCTCGGAGCAGCTGTGAATCAGTGGATCTGAAGAAAGAAGAAGAAAAAGATCGAAGAGAAAGCATCTTCCGTCTTGGAGCTGCTAGGAGGCGAGAGAAGAAGAAGAAGATGAGTGCTCTTACACGCATCTTCGAGCCCCGAGCTGCTAGTGGGGCGAGAAGAAGAGGTGGGGACGGCGGCGGATCGCCGTCGCTTGTCGGAGTCGTCCCGCGCCGTCAGAATCGGAGAGGAGAGCCAAAGAGAGCGAGAGGAGAGCGCGGCGGGGGAGGGCGAGAATGATTTAGGGTTTGGGGTGCGAGGGGGAGCCAGCCGATGACGCTGTTTATATACACCCCCACCCCAACGGCGGAATCCAACGGCTAGAATCGCAGGGGTCGGGGGATCCAACGGCCATGATGGCTCGGCCCGTGCCGATCTGCCGGGCAGGAGCCTTTTTTCGTGCGTGCCTCGTCTTTGGCCCATGGGCGAATGTGCGCCCGAGCACGCGCACGGCGGGCCATGGGTCGTGCCGTGCAACGCACGACGATGCCTAGCGGACCGGGCGGGGCTAGTGCCGTGCTTTTTAGGGCCGTGCCCGTGTCGGCCCATCGGGCCTGGCCCATTTGAAAAACTATAGCAGAGAGGAAGAAAGGTAGAGAGAACTACGTGCGTTGGTCACTGGGTCTGTTGACTGCTAGTGCTTTTGGGCTCCTAAGGCAAAGTAGTAGTACTAGTACTGTGTGGTGGAGGGCTTCAGGTTCAGCTCAAGTGAGGATGAAAAGAGCTTAACAATACTAAATTAATTTAATGATTTACGCAATCCCTATTTTATAAATCATAGCACAATGGATACTAATTGCCACGAAGCTATTTCTTGACTGCAGGATGGACACATGGCTACGTATGTGCTAAGTATATATACTCTTTTTCATCTTACTAAATACCAATATATATATTTATACTAATTATAGGAAGCGAGCAAAGTCAGGCGCAGGATCTTCCAGCGAACCAAATTGAGCCCGAGTTGAATCCTGACAACTCGGGCAAGAATTCTTGATCATTCTCTCCTTGAGTTTTTATACAAAGTTTGAGAAAATAAAAGTAACCTTTATTAAATATTATGGATGGATGATATGTGAATTTGATGACATGGGGTTAGCTAATGGAGCAGCTAATTCCCTACTATATATTTGGATGGAAAAGTTTGGTAGGACTAATAACCAACTCTCACTTGTGTTATTGGGCCGTATAAATTCGTGTCAACCATGAACTCATTTGGGACGGGCCGATTTTAGTACCCATAAAGTTGTTGTATAAACCCTATGGTAAGTGAGAAGAGGGTTGGGTGATGAAATCCCCAATCAGGTGTCGATGAAGAACACCTAGGCGCATATATTAGCGCACGTGAATAGATGTGGATGTATAATTATATGAAATGGGGAAAGTTCGATATCTTAACCATGAGTCGCACCAAAAGGGAGTGCGATGGATAATTGGTCAAGGTAATTATGGCTAAAGTGATACAAACCTGCGCAGGGTTAAATCATGAATTCATGTCATGTCATATTCTCAAGATACAAGTGATAGTGTTTTTAAATTAAACTTGACTTTTTCTACAAATGCTATTTTGAACAGCAAGATATATATATATATATATATATATATATATATATATATATATATATATATAGAGTCACCCCGCCGCCAACCGATTCCGATCCGCCGAGCCACCCCACCCACCCAGCGCGACCGACCCCGCCTTCCTTTCCTCCACGATGCCTGCCACTTTTTTTTCTCTCTTTTTTTTCACCCATTTATTTTTGTTCGTCCTCCTCCTTTTTTCCTATCGTGGGCAGCGGCAGTTCCTCCTCTGCCCATCCACAACTGGCAGCTCCACCTACTCCCATCCTTGATCCACCACCTCCTCCCTCCCTCCATCTTCTCCACCAGCGGCGGCGGCGGCGACGGCGGCGTTTTACCCGCATGGCCCCTCCGCAGCGTTCGAGCCTTAATCCCCTCGCCAGCGACGGATCTAGGGTAGTAGGCCTAGGGATCATCTGATCCCCATCACCCGGCTGTATCGGCGGCTTCTCCATTCTCCCACTCCCGTGCGTCGGCCTCCTGTGCTCGCCCGTGACTCATCGTCAGCCCCCGTCGCAAACTCCCGGAGAAAGGAGTAGCGACTACTTTGGCGACGCCGTCGATCACGCCGCCGCTTGCCGCTCACGCATGTGCTCCTGCAACAATGGTGGCGAGATCCAGTGCCCTCCTCCAGATCCCCTTCCCCACTCCTCATTTGCGACATCTTCTCCTTCCTTCCCCTTGCCCTTCCCTTCCCCTTCTTGATTCGATTTGATGATTCGAGTGCGGGATGCGATCCCTTGAGCTTCTCTTGATCCGATCACGTGTGTTCGTTTGTCGCCCCAATCGTTGAGGAACCACCACGGCCAGGAGCTCCTCTTCACTAGCAGCAAGGTTGAGTCTAGGTCTAAATCTCTAAATTTTTTGTTGCCTTATGCTTGTATATTTATTATCTTATGAATGGATGCAACAACAGTCACTTGATTGTCATTCATTTTTCAGGCTTATTGATGGCAATTGTAGCCACATATCATTGCCTTGCATGTACCCTGTAGGCACAGTCTTGCTGCATTTTTTTAATTTTTTGTGGTCAACAAGTTCCCTGTTCGGCTATCATTGTTGTTGCCTTTATTATTGTTGCACCGGGTGGTATTCAGACAAATCAATGTATTGCATGTTGTTACTGATTTTAGGCTGCTCTTCATCAAGGGATTATGTTGTCTTCATCCTAGTGAACTGAGCAGAGCATGAGATTATCTCTTACTACTGGATTTTTGTACCAACTATCTTTGCCAGGATTCCTCCCTGTTTACTGACACCCTTTATGTCCTGTAATTAGGAATCCCTGGTCATGTGTCCTAGTTCCATTTTTCATCATATAATCTAAAAATTGCACCGAGTTCTCTGTCATGCTTAATGGAACTATATCAAAAGTCTCCCTGCTAGTCGCCAAATAAGTATCTTGCAGCACTCCATCAACAAAACGTTGGCGTGCCGCTAGCACAAAAAAAAAGGTATCTTTGGAGAATGCTCTACACTTTTTGGACTTATCATCATCTCCACCAGTCATAAATTTGGCATTGATTTTATGACTTATCTATCTTGATCTATGTATGCACTGTTGATATTACATATTTAAGGTTTCATTTGTTAATCATTGTGGTATGCTTTTGACAATTGCATGTGTGAGCACCTGATTCTCATATGCTCTTGAATCCCAAAGCTGATCATTGTTGACCATATGCTCATGTATTCTAAAATTTCCATATCCTATTATGCATGCCACTTTGCTTCCTGCAAGACCATTTGTATACTGCTCATATGCTCATCTTTAAATATGTACATCGTTGTATCTTGTCACTTTGATACGCATTTCATGATTAGAATTTCCTGTCAGAGTCGGGAGTCTAGGAGTAGTAGTTTTCTAATGGTAAACTTCCGCCGCTTACCATTTCCTTTTCAAAGATGATATTTTGTTTTCTCGATGGGTGGCAAAGCATTTCATGTTGTTTGGATGGTCTGTGATTGGAAGTGATGGAGTGGACGATGTTTGTATCTCTGTTAACCCATCCCCGAGTAAAGTGCTCAATTGCAATGCAACTTTTAGTAATTGATTGCCTTTAGTCGATGGCAGATTATACTCTATGCAAAGGCATCAATGTTGCTTTGCATGTTAGTTTCACCTTTTGAGTTAGAATTTGTTTTTTTACACTTTGTCTAACATTTTAGTTTATTTGTTTTTACATGAATTCTACTACTACTAGTTAGGATGTTTCTCCGCTAGCATTCCTGCGCTTTATGTGGGAACAGCGGTCACAGTGGGCTGATAGCAATTTAGATGCATTCTTTACTTCTACAGTAAAACCAAATTTCTTCGATTTGCTTATGCCTTGCCTTGGAGGATTTAGTGGTCAGGTCATATTTCCTTTAGCCTACACTTTTGGCCCAGAGGAACTAAGCTCGTATGCTACTGTGATCTGCAACAGTGCAACTAATCTCTCCAGTTTATCAAATCTCTTTTGCTTAATGTGTTCGTTTCTTAATTTCTTATGTCAGTTCCTTGAGGTTAGAAAATTGGGAAATGACAATATTTATCAAACGTGCTTCTGCAGCGTCATCTGTTTGTATGCATTTTTGTGATATTAAATGTTATTATTTGCTATCTGCCAGCTTGATTCAACAAACTTCAATGATGATTAGCTTTTGGTTATTAACTCATTGACCCATCCTTTGTCAGATGCCAGAAGTCGACATGCTATTTTAAAGTCCACTACTCTAAATATCTTTGATCATGCTTCGTGGTTAGAGCTAATATTTTCATCAGTGTTATTTATTCTCTTTTGTTCTTTCTTAGATTCTGTTTGCAAATCACAGGCGTTCTCCATCAAAGCACCCTCCTCCAGCTACACTCCATGATCACTCACAAAGGTCATTTTTTTCTAATATTCCTGATTTGTAGGTGTGACTTATTATGCTTGAATTTTCATCATGTCAATTTTTTTTGTTCGTGACACTACGTATGCTTCGTTAGATAATTAGCCATATCAATATAGTCAAGTGATCTGTTTGCGTGACTAATTATGCTACATTAGATAATCAGAAGGTTATTTCTTTGCTATATGCATCTTTCAGGTTTTGAAAGGGCATGGACATTTTATCTTGTTTGCAGGATGTGCTGGCCAGTGGCTGATGGCGTCCTCCCGCATGGAGACCTTCTCGGATTTCGTTCCCCCTCTTGACACCAAGGTCGCCCCAAGTTGCAGCTGTTCTCCTCCGCTGCTCACATCCGTGTACGCCAGACGAGTGGCGAGGAGCGACCAGATGCTAGTGTGGCTCCTGCCGCTGCACAACCGATGTCGAAGCATGTCGATAACAACCCTCCTGCTCCGATGGCACCAACCTAGCCTCAGGCAAATTCGACCCCCACAAATTTGGTCATTTTTTAAAGAAAAGCTGTGAACTGAGATGATTTTTGTGGTTCAATTGAAATAATAACATGAATGTGGTTACTATTGGATTAGACGTCGCTCCATATAGTTGAGTGACTTCATTTTGCATCTCTGTAGAAAATAGAGAATGTATGCATTGAAGTTTTAGTCTTAGAATATCCTGAACCTAGAGCTGATTTTTCGTTTTAAGTAAAATGATGTGCGTCCGTGAGGATTTCTTCGTATTAGTCGTCTCTATGCGCGTTCAGCATGTAAGGTTCCCTCTCCACTCTCTTTTGACTAGTGCCCAAACCACAGGCACCATGTGTAAGACGCCATATTGAACTTTTTTTTTTGTTTCATGTGGTTTAAAAAAGTATTAGCTCAGTGACGCATAGTCTAATAAGATTTCGCCATTACAATTTCAACTTACTGTTCATGTCAGTGTGTATTATTTCTAAAATGTTCTTCTATTAGTATATTATAGATTGCATGTCAAATGTTCATTCAAGTGCTTAACTGAATCTATGGTACCTTTTATATCAGGAATTACACTGGCTTGAGTGGAAATCAACAACTTGCATGCAAAATGTTTTGTGTTGACAACTTGCATGTCAAATGTTGGTTCAAATGCCTAGCAACGATATATTAACTTTTTCTATAATTTATGCATGAGTGTATAGTTAGACTTGATGATTTATGAATAGTTCAATTGCTGGAGAAACACTAAAATTCATCTCCTATGTGCCCATGCCATTAGTATTTTCATTGCAGGCATGGTGCTTCTGGGACCAGGATCTGAACCTGTCATGCCCACCTATGCTAAAATTGATTTGTCTGACTGACGATGTCGGTCTCATCCTTGTCCTGTTTATGCAGCCAGGAACGAGCAGAAAGAGAGCAGTACCTGTGTGTTGAACTGGTGTGCCTTCTTCCCTTCATTGCTCTAAAGTTGAGTATTTTGTGGTTTCTCCAGGAAGCCATTTTATTGTAGACTAATTTTAGAAGAAACCATTTTCTTCTAGACTATCAGGCTCTCTCTTCTATTTTGGTTCTCAAATGTCACCAACGAAATGTTGGGCAAAACATGTTAGCTCCAGACGGTTTGTTAACCAATTAGCTATGACCATAAATATTCATTTCTAGAAATAGATACAAGGATTGTTCTAGAAAACAGGTGGTCATAGAAATCCTAGCCTGCTACGTGACAATAAAAATATTATTTAGAAACACGTTCCATGGTATGATTCATTAATAAAATTGTAATTGAGTGGATCACTTATTCAGTTAACTACTTATGCCGAGACACAAGAGTTAGTACTATTTTAATTTATGACATTATAAGTGTTGCTGCTGTGATATAGTAACTGTGGTGGATTAATTAGCAGCTCATTTTTTGCTCGATGCATAAGCATGTAAATTAAAACTTGATCAGCACTGCGGCTAGAGTTCGGTCAATTTTGATTGAACATCTAGCTATCCAAGTAGTTATGCCTCGGAGACTTCACTTATTCAGCTTATGCCTTTTCTGATCATCACTGCGGCTAGAGTTCACTTTTTTGATCTTGTCATGGCCTGGTGGGTTTTGTAGTGACGGAGCTGATGGCTGTGAAGTTCAGGTTCTGAATGAGGAGGGGTTGTGGGCTGATGGCCAAGTGAGACAAAAGTTTCTCCATGTTTGTGTGCCCCAGGTAGTTTGTGTCTTCCTCCTGTCTTCCCCTCATTGACTCTGTCTTCCTCTGTGTTACAGTAAACTTTGATATCTTTTCCTTTCCTGATGCTGCTATGCTGGTTTCGATTTTGCAAGAGAGAAATCCATTTAGATATATTCATATATATTGATTATGAGGTAATGCCAATGAGACAGGGAGATGGGGGAGAGTGTCATATGCTCACATCGAAATAGTTTGCATAACGACTTATAAAATTTTAATATTTATGTGGTATCATCTTGATAATTAACTGGATATGTTACCCCCACAAGAAAACCTGTTTTTAAGATTATATTCAAAAAATAATCATGTTTAGAAGAGGTTATTTCACTTGTTATTAAGCTCATTACTCCATCTTGCAGGTTTTAGAAGACGGTATAGCCAATACTAATGCTGCTGAGGCAAACACCTCTTCAGCATCCCATGCCTGGAGTGATGGTGTGGCACTACAGTGGACGATCTTGTGCAAGATGTTTGCTGAGCACCACCATGGAGTCCTCGAGTGCCAAGAGCACCTAGGTGCTAGCACTGCCTCATGGCTCCTCGTAGTTCGCATGTTTGAGATGCACGATTGGACATGTTAATGTAGTGGTTCTGGGCTTTTGATGGCTCTTGTTTTTTGAAAGTGCTTATACCCTGCAAAAAGCTTTGTGTTGCAAGGACACGTCTTGCTTGTTCGTTGAAATTTGCTTATACAAACTAAATTTGTTTGAAAACAAAATGTAATTTATGGTTATAAAATTTTGGATCATTTGAACTCTAGAAATAGAAACTTTCACGTTTAATCATAACTAAAATTCTTTGGGCTATAAATTAACTGAGATTGAAAAATGAAGTGCCATTTTGTCCGTTTGTTGCTGCATATCGGATTGACCATAACGCTTATTCCAAAGATAAAAAAAGGGGGTAAAAGGGGGACTTAGGACATGGGGTGAGGACATGGGCCATCAGCATTTAGCATTTCGAGAACTACCTGAACGGAGGCACCACCTAAGCACGTGTGGGTAAAAAAAAGACGTGAAAAAATCAGCGTGGGAGGAAAAAAACGGCGTGAAAAATCAGCGTGGGAGGGGGACAAAATGGAGGCCGGCTGCGGGTGCGGGTCGGGTACTAAATAATAATCAGTACCTAGGTACTATTCACCGTAGTCCTCTCTCTCTCTATATATATATATATATATATATATATATATATATATATATATATATATATATATATATATATATATATATATATATATATATATATAACTATACTAGTTGGTATCCAGAGTACTAAATAATATTCGGTACCCGAGCCCCTCTGCTCCACCACCGTCCTGTGCACCCTTAGGTGTGGGTTTTTTTTCGTGACTTTTTTTTTCTCCCGTGGCCGTGTTTTTTTTCTACATAGGGACCCGTTTTTCTGTTTTGTTTTGCGTTGACTGAGTTTCTGTTCCTTATTTGCATTGACTTTTCACTTTTTTTGTCGTGAACTTTTCACATTCTTTTTTTTTTGCATCTCTTTTGCGTGGACTTTTCATGTTCTTTATTGCTTTTTTTTTTGCATTTTTCTTGGCAGTGCTCATGCTATATCGCCGTCAAGAACAATGATTTTTTGTTATCAGTATAAAATTGAGATATGCTTTTAATTGTTAATCCCCATCAAGAATGACTTTTTATAGTTAAATATAAAATTGTTAACAATAAAATTGTCAAATCAAAGTATGTGCAGCATTTTTTATGCTCGTCTAGGATCAAAGCATAAAAGTAAGTTGGTGACAAACATTATTTGTTAACCAAAGTGACTTGGAAATTTGTAAATTTAATACAATTCTAGTGGCTACTTGAGTGCTCTTTGTAACATGCCATGTATGAAGAATATACAGCTGCAAGAACCATTATTGGTATCCAGGAGCACCGTGAGGAGGACATGCTGCAGCAGTAGCACTGTATAGGGAGCAGAAGCAGAGCAGGGCACGAAACAGGAAGAACCACCCTACTGAAAGCACAGGTTAGACAACCCCGAATGTATCCTGCTTGATCAAAACCATTATAAGTAATAATACAATTAGTTAATTAAGTACAAAAATAACAAACAAAATATAAACTATTCATTGTAGAGCAATCTCCCCCTAATATCTGCTTAAGATTGTGAAAACTACAAATATTTATATATTTTTTCTTTTAGATGAATATGGTAAAAAAGTGTGCTATCCATGGAGAATGTCTTGTCTTTTTCAGCGAGAAGAATATATATACAAAATATCTCTTTCAATTGAGTATATCTTAAATGTGTCATACATGCTATCTCAAATAATCTTCCCTCAGACCTGCAACATGTGTCCTAGCAGCATGCTTGTTTGTACACGTCATGCATATCAATCAGCAAAAGATGGTAAATATCTGAATTGTATAACTGTAACATATTTTTATAAGCGAAGTATGGTGATTGTAGCGTGAGCATAAAAAACTATCAGTCCCTTCTGCTTCTGATTCCAAAAGACACCCACTTCACAATTCATCAGAAGGCTACTTACAATCACTGCTACCTTTGTGCTACAATGAACAGCAACCAACTAAAGATCTCTACTGGACAAACTACAATGCTTATAAGCAGCACCAAAAGAAACCAGGCAATTATCTTTGTCAAATAAATATGAGCAAACAGATTTGGTACACATATAAGCAAACTAAAACTCTTGTTTCTTAGAAAGATCAATTTCTGCAAGGAATGAGTACCAAATCAGATCGTTGTAAACATTTGACTATGGTGCAGAAATCAATGACTCTATCGTGTATAATGAAAATATAGTCCTAGTCCTAGCTAATGCCTATTGAGTAATGAAAGGAACAACATATCTGGTACATGGGGCAAAATACAGCATCAACTAACTTGAGATATGCATATTTAAATAGAGTGGGAATATTTGAAATCTAGAGGTAGCGTGAGCATAAAAAACTATTAGAACAATAACGTGTAAGATTTTACCATGGGAGTTTATGAAGTTGTTCGATGAAGGTTTTAAAATGCGGTAAAGAGATATGCACATTTTCCATGCAACACATACCTTGCAGAATGACTAAATAATAGGAATAGTTTCAGTGAAACAAAATCACAAACCAATTTGAGAAAACTGTACCAGCAAAAGGTCAAGTGATGTGATGTATAAATCAATTTTAGTTATACGAGTTAAAACCAACAAATACAAGATCCAAGCCGAGTAAAGAACTAGAACACCCAGGCAAATTCGGTAGTAGTGGGCATGTACTACTCCATATTCTCCAGGGAGAGAAAGTTGGACCAAACACCACCATAGGCCACCATGCCAAACAGGCAATCATGCTTCCCCAACAAAAACAAAAACATCACTACTTTGCCTAACAAGCGGCCCCATTGCTGAGTACTGAACTATTTCAAAATAGATGAAATCAAAATTAGCTAATGCATTTGATGCTTTCATCTCAAAGAGCTATAGGCTATATTGAATTACCTATGTGATGAACACAATAAAATTAGTTTCTCTTGTCAAATCAACAAAAAAAATTTAATGAGTATGAATTATCTGATATAGCATAGATACTTTTTCCTGACTTCTAATCCATTATTGAATACATAGTAAATGAAGGGTATAACATCCACTAACCATTCAAATATGATACGATTATAGGACCTTCAAGCTAACATAAATGAGAAATAAGTATGCAAAAATAATTCAATAAGCACATGATACATTCTACATACTATAGAAAAAGGTGAAAGATAAACATAGTCACCGAATTAAAGTATTATACTTATACTCATATAAATGGATCAATAGGAAGTCTGGAATCATCGTTAGTGACATGCAAAAACTTGGAAACACAGGTTTAAAAAGATACTTTACGGTTGTTGAAGTGCAGTGGAACTGACCTCTGCAGTACACTTAGTCTTCCCTTGTTAGAGTTCTCTACTTGCTGATTTCCTGCCATGCTGAATAAAGTATTAGCTATCATGCTAAATCATAGTACAATTTTACAAACACAAAAATCATGTTTAAAGTTAGTGCCAAAGCAAAAAAAAATCAGGTTTAAAAAGTGATTTGCTAGTGTCAAGGTACCAGGCAAGGTTACTCTAATGGCCTTGCTTTGTTTTCTACTCTATAAGCTCTGTTTTTCTCAGGCATATGTGCCTTAGATGACCTACTACCGCAAGCACACTGCCCATGTATTAGTGATGGGCGAAATCTCATCAGTTTATATTAATGGCTTGCCAAATTGGGACTGAACTATTTATTCATGTGACGTACAAACATACATACAAGAAGTGAAAGCTGGAACTGTAGCTTGCTGACTGATGAAATTTACTAATGCAAAACTGAACCTATGCTCTCTAATACTCACATTGACCTAGGTAACAATGATAAGCAGAGACACATAATCTGTATGCACTATTGTGTTTCTAAATAATAATTTTTATTATTATTTAGTAGGCTAGGATTTCTATGACCACCTGTTTTCTGGAACAATCCTAAATTCCTAATATCTGTTTCTAGAAATGAATATTTATGATAATAGCTAATTGGTTAACCATCAATTGTTTATTTGACTATCTGCAGCTAATATGTTTTGCCTAACATATCAAGTTGCTGACACTTGGACACTCGAGAACCAAAATAGAAGAGATAACCTGCCGGTACTACAACAGCTTGGTCGAGCTCATGCATTCCTACTCCAAATGTAGTTGAATGCAGAAACATGGTCAATTTGTAAATCTGTATTTTGTGTAATAAAGAGGGGCACAATTCCTGAACCTTGGTGCTTGCACATCCATTATGCGCAGGCTATGAGGATGTAGAAACTTGTGTCAAAAATCAACTTCTTGCATGGTTCGGATCTGGCAAAGAAGACCAGCGCAGCCGAGCAACATGCAGATCGGGCCTACAGCACCAGGAGTGAAAGCTCTAGTTTAATTTTGGTAAATTGATGAAACCCTGAGTGCTAACCTAGTTTATCAAGTGATCATAAGATAGGTAGCACATTTCAAGTGGTGAAGCAAATGAAGATCATGACATGATGATGGTAATGCCATGGTGATGATCAAGTGCTTGGACTTGAAAAGAAGAAAGAGAAAAATAAAAGGCTCAAGGCAAATATATAAATAGTAGGAGCCATTTTATTTTGGTGATCAAGACACTTAGTGAGTGTGATCACATTTAGGATCGATAGCCGTACTATTAAGAGGGATGAAACTCATATCGAAATACGATTATCAAAGTGCCACTAGATGCTCTAACTCATTGCATATGCATTTAGGATCTAGTGGAGTGCTAACACCCTTGAAAATATTTGTGAAAATATGCTAACACATGTGCACAATGTGATACACTTGGTGGTTGGCACATTTAAGCAAGGGTAAGATACTTCATCGGTGGAGTGTCACTGGCGCCCTATACAGAAAATATGGAGGTCACTGTAAGTGACCGGACGCCGGTCTTGGTAGGACCGGCGCGTCCGGTCAGCAGAAGCAGCGAAGACGCTGGCGTCGGCCTCTGACCGGACGCTGGGTCACTTAGTGACCGGACGCTGGAGGGTTGCGTCCGGTCCTACTGACATGGCAGTGCACA